GGAAGATTGGCCCTGTGCTAACATCTGTTTCCAATCCTCCTGTTTGTGCTTGAGGAAGATTGTTGCTGAGCCAGCATCTGTGCCAACCTTCCTCTATTTTATACGGGATGTCGCCACAGAGTGACTTGATGAGCCGTGCTAGGTCCACACCTGGCATCCAAACCTGTGAACCCTGGGCCACCAAAGCAGAGCGCACAAACTTAACCACCATACCACTGGGCCAGCCCCACATCTTATGTTTTTTAAATCAGTTGAGTACATACCTGCGCTTGCGTGCACACAGAGACACACACAAAACCATGAGTAAGGTAGATCCGTTTTTGAATCCAAAACTTCTTGAATACAGAACAAATGATCATACAGTTCCTGCCACCTGGGCAGTTTTTCATTTCTAACCTTTACTGGATATTTGTATCTTTTTGGAAAAAACACCCATTAAACCTTAAGGGTTCACATATGCCTATCTATTCCAGGAAACACTGGAGGAGGCAAGAGTGGGACTTGGTGAGTAACTGGTCTTGAGATATATCAGGACCCCTCAAGTTGAGAACATGGGCATATTCTGTGGTCTCTTTTTTTTTTTTTTGAGGAGGCTCAGCCCTGAGCTAACATCTGCCAATCCTCTTTTTTTTTTTTTTCTGCTGAGGAAGACTGGCCCTGAGCTAACGTCCGTGCCCATCTTCCTCTACTTTATATGTGGGACGCCTGCCACAGCATGGCTTGATGAGCTGTGCCATGTCCGCTCCCAGGATCCGAACCAGCGAAACCCTGGGCCGCCAAAGCAGAATGTGTGCACTTAACCATTACGCCACCAGGCCAGCCCCTATTCTGTGGTCTTCATGATGCAGGGAGCTAATGTCCAGGTCAAGTCTGAAAACTGTACCAGTTAGCTTATGAAACAGTGCAATCTCTTGCAGAGATGCCACTTCATTCTAACAGACTCCCAGAGGTCGAGGAGTATCTTAGCAATCACTGGTCCAGCCCCTCATTTTAGAGTTAGGGAAATGGAGACCCAGAGGCGGGAAATGGTCCTACAGCTAATGATTTCCTATAAGTCATCTCTGACCTGAGTGTCTCCTGTCTTGTAATTTATGAAGGCTCTCTTGTAAGACCTTCCTGCAGAAATATGGAAGCCAGGGTAGAGGCTTATTGCCAACTCAGAATCTTCATTTATTTTCAAGGACAGGCTTGAATGAGGTGAGGGAGCAAACCATGCAGATGTCTGGGGGCGGAGCATCCCAGGCAGAGGGAACAGCTAGATGAGAGAGGGAGTCCTGGGGGCTTGATCGTCACACACCCAGACTGACCGCTGTGACCAGTCTGTTTCAGTCCTCTCACCTACAGGCCTTTGTGTAGTTTACTGGGGATATATATTTACTCCACAATATGCTTGTCAGACAATAAGGAATAGCAGCTTAATATAATAAAATAAGAGGGCTGGTGCTGTGAGTGTCAGGAAGCTAGATTCTAGTTCCATCTACAGTGTTATTTAGTTATCATTCGAGGAAATTCACTGAACCTCTCTGGGCTTAAGTTTGCTCTTCTATGAAATAAAGGGTTTGGACTAAATGATTCTAAAGTCTCTGCCAGCTTTATTTTATAATTCCTTGAACTCTAAATAATTCTAGGGCTTTAAAGTAAAACTTGACCGTGAGCCCTTAGGAATCTTGAAAACACAGAGTTTTCCAGGAGGCGTGTATAAAATCAGAAAAACAATTGGGGATACAGCCCTACCAGCAGCCAATTGTGTTCTCTCCAGGAGAGAGCTAAAGTTCCAGGTACCTGTGGTACATCCTGCTGAAGAGGAATTGGCCAAAATCCACAAATGCTGGGGGAACGCCAGGACTCCACGAATCCCGGCGGTGTGGAAGCGCGTAGCCAACACTGTCCTGAGAAGGACCCACACTGAGAGAGAGAGGGCGTGTTGAGCTAATTGCTGGCAAGCAAGGAAGCACCTTATAAATGCTTACTCGTGTACAATTCGTATAGCCATCCATGCAGTTTCCATCTGTTATTTCATTCCATCAAAGATGGATCCTTATAAATCTTCATTTTCCAGCAAAGGAATTTGAGGATCAGAGAGGTAAGGTGTTTCTGTGCAAAGCTAGGTAGCTAGTAAGTGGTGAAGCTGGGCCTACAAAACCACATCTCCTGGCAACTGGACTGCCGCTGGGCAGCTTACGGCAGCGCTTCTCAGCCAGCAACACGCTCGAGAGTCACCAGGGGGATGCCGATGCCCAGGCCCCTCCCCAGAACTCCTGAATTGGAATCTCCAGGGCTGGGGCCACATCAGCAGCAGCCCAAAAGATAATTTGGTCTTCCTGCTTCAGTGTCCAAAGGTGTCTAAGTCCAAATGTGAGGCACATAGGTCTGACTTGCTCTGCTGTCTTTTAGTCAGTTCCCTAAACACAGCCTCAGTGTAGCAGTTTAGCTGAAAGCAGCACTTTTCAGGTGCAAGGGCACTGCTGAAGGAAAGAAGACACTTAGATCTGAATTCTAACTTGTCACTGCTTTTTAATAAGTGGGCCTTATGAGAATGTCCCCAAGAGTGAATGAACCCTAGGTTTAGAGCCTCTGTTAATTATGTTCCTACCATATTCTTGTTCCCATATTTATTTATCTTTTTTTTTAATTGAGGTAACATGGGTTTATAACGATGTAAGTTTCAGGTGCACATCATTATATTTTGATTTCTGTGTAGATTACATTATGTCCAACACCTAAAGACTAATTACCATCCATCACCACACACATGTGCCCAGTCACCCCTTTCGCCCTCTGCCCTCCCCCTCCCCTCTGGTAACCACCAGTTCAATCTCTGTCTCTATGTGGGGTTTTTTGTTGTTTTTATCTTCTATTTATGACTGAGATCATATGGTATTTGACTTTCTCCCTCTGACTTCTTTCATATTTTTAGACTGAAAAAAATTAAGGGAAGGGGAACTGTCACACACGTAGATTTGGTAATTAAATAGGCAATCCACAAAGGTGTAACTGCCTTGCTGCCGCCCAGCTACACACATTGAGGCAAGATGACAACTGTGGACGTTCATTAGCACCTCCTTAGGCCAGCACTGTGCTTAGTACTTTGCACATGGGATCCAGATTACTCCTCAGAGCAACTCTGAGCTAGGTGGTGGGATAACAGAAAATGTAAACTGTAGATAATGAAACCCATCTCGTAGAGATTTGTAATGATTAGTGACCTACCCAGCGCAGCACTTGTGCCGGGGTCCCCAGGCCCACCCCCAGGTTCGCTGATTCACTGGGAGGACTCATAGCTCTGATTTAGTGCAGCAAAAGCAAAATCAGCAACAGGAAGAAGTGCATGGGACGGAGTCCAGAGGAAACCAGGAGAGAGCTTCCAAGAGTCCTCTCCCGGCAGAATCACACGGGGCACACTTAATTCCTCCAGCATCGAATAGTGCAACATGTGAAATATGGCCAACCAGAGGAGTTCAGTAGAGATTCAGTACCCATGGCTTTTACTGGGGGCTGGTCCTGCACGCACCATCTGTCTAGCACAAACCAAAATTCCCGAATCACAGAAGGAAAGCAGGTGTTCAGCATAAACCATATTGTTTGCACAGTTTAGCCACAGTGAGTCATCCTGAGGGAATGGCGGGAACCCTCCTGAAATCCAAGTTTCCAGATGCCAGGCAAGGGCCAGCCCTGTAAGCAGGACTTTCTAAGGACAGCAGGTCTGCTGTGTTAACTCTTTTCTGCACAGCACCCAAAGTTTATTTCCTTTTATATTTGGAGAGATGGGAAAGCTGAGTCTCAATAGAGTTTGGATGGCCTTCCTAAGGACACACAGCTAGCCGGTGGCCAAGCCAAGATCTGGAGTCCAGGTGTCATGGAAGACCCTGAGAAAAATCTCTGTGGAGCCAGAAGACCCTCTAGAGTTCTGTGCTGTCGAATAGAACTTTCTGCAGTGATGGAAATGTTCTGTGTCTGCACTGTCCAGTACAGTAGCTTCCAAGCACATGTGGCTACTGAGCACTTGGAATGTGTCTAGGATGACTAAGGAGTTAAATTTTTAATTTTATTTAATTTTTAATTAATTAAATAGCCACATGTGGTTAGTTGCTACCATACGGGGCAGCACAATTCTACATCACAATGGAATGGATTTTTCTTTTCCGGGGAAGCAGATGGGATCGATAGACTTTGGCTCTTGATGCAAACTACGGAATGTGCTGATCTGTGTGTCCCTCTCCATGGATGTCCTCGTCTGTGCGCAAGAGCAGAAACTAACGTGTAATATTTGCAATTCCCTGGGAGAAAAGCCCTTTCCATTTGCTCGGTTTTTTGTTATTAAAGAATAGGAAGGAATGTGCCCCTCCAAAAATAAAGCATTAAATCGGACCCCACTAGGGATTGAGGCCCATCCTGGTGAAGCACCCTGCTGGACCCCATGCTGCCGCCCCCTCTCGAGAGTTCAACCTGCGCAGCTGGTTGTCAGGCCTCTGTGTTATTAAGAGATGTGGGTGCCAGCAAGTGAAGGCTGACTTTCTGCCCACTTGCACTTTTTCTGTCTGCTTTTGGACGAAGTGCTTACGAGCAGTCAAAAAACCAGAAGCCTAGAGAAGGGGAGAAGAGATTTTAAGAACCTATAGAGTTAGTTAGATAACCGAGCCTCACTACTTTTGTGTTCATCCTGAGCCCAGGAGGTGGTATGGTCCGTGAGCAGCACACAGCGGGGTTGGGTTGGGATGTTGAAGAGGACGGAGAAGCACAGCTTTGGAGCGGATTAACCTCAATGGGAATCCTGGGTCCAATGCCTTAGGAAAGTTATTTAAGGTCACTGAACCTCAGTTTCCTCAACTGTAAAATGGGAAGATTACTGTGAAAATTAAGTGTAAGCATCAGTAAATCAGCTGCTCCCTCTGGGCCATGATTCCTCTTACTGCCTGCGGGCCATCCTAGGTTGTGGGTGATCAGAAACACAGAGGGCAGGAGCCTGGGTTGCCATTGACCTGGTCCCCCCTCCATTCCAGCAATTCCCCTTCTGCTTGATGTCCATCAACATCACCCGCATCGCAATCCAGGCCTTAAGGGAGGAGTGTCTCTCCAGGTGAGTCCCCAGACTGCTCACCCCGGCCACCCGTTTCCTTCCCACCCCTGCCTCATTCTCCCCAGCACTCTTCCTCTCCTGCTCCTGGGGGTTCCGGAAAGTCCCCATGCACCAGTCTTCCAGCTCCTCTCTCCTCCCCAACCCTGACCTCAGACGGAAGGCTGCCTGGGGAACGGCTCCCCTGGGGAGGAGGGCTGGAGGGCACCCGGGTGTCAGCCTTTGTCCACTGCTGAGCGGATCACCTCCCTCATCGTGCAGGGAGTGTAATCGGCAGCAGAAGGTGATCCCAGTGGTGAACAGCTTCTACGCCGCCACTTTCCTTCGCCTCGCGCACATCTGGAGGACGCAGCAGAAGACCATCTCGGACTCAGGCTTTGTCCTCAAAGGTATGCTCCTCCTTCCGGGAGGCCGAGCTCCTGAACTCCTAGTGTCCCCAGGTTCAGGGACCCAGAGTGGTTTTGGCTGCAGCTCCCTTCCCCTAACCCCCATTCACACATTCTCAAGTTCCAGCTTCCCAAAGTCTCCATCAGCCCTCCCTCTGGATCTGCCAGCTCTCCTTTCTCTGCCACCTTGCTCCTGCCTTTCTGGCCTTATACCTCTGGTGATCATGTCTTCTGAATCAAAAGCTGGGTCCAACAGTTGGACTAACCATTCAGAGTTGAGATTGTCCTGGACAAGGCAGAGTGTGTGGTCCCTGTGGCTCTATCTGGTTCCTTGATGACCTCTCCATCTTAGAAGACTCCTTCACCCCTGTCTCCATAGGATCTGGGCTGGGGGTGCTCCGTAGAGCTGCTGGGCCCTGACTGTTGTGCAGTCCAAAACCCCCTCAAGCTTTATGTTCCCCAATGCTCTCTGTTCCAGACTTGGAAGTGTTGGCCAAGAAAAGCCCGAGGCGGCTGCTCAAGACCCTGGAGATCTACTTGGCCAGAGTGTCAAAGGGACAGGCCTCCTTCTTGGGAGCACAGAAGTGCTCTGGGCCACAAGCCCCTCACTCCAAGGATCTCACTTTCACAGGCGTGTGTGACCTGCTCCCACACTCATCTGAAGGCACATGGCTGATCTGACCAAGCCCAGAGGCTGCTGGATAGAGGGACTTAAAGGCTGGGCCCCAGGGTCTTCTGGAGGGCGCATGGCAAACCACGGCAGGCGCACCCTGGCTGGGCCAAGCCCCTTCCCATCTTAGCAGAAGGGAGGTAGGAAGCTCCTGGGCCTGGCTGGGGAGCCAAGGACCCTCACCCATGTGAAACATTGGGGCAGTTAGACTTGACCCGCGCTCCACAGAGCTGCCTTCAGAGCAAGGAGAACTTTGCCGTAACCTTAGCTGGGCTACAGTTTGCAGAGCTGGGTTCCATGGAATCTCACTGAGAGTGAATGGGGCCTGAGGTGGGAGAGCCCCATCTGGATGGTCCACATTTCCCTACATTGAAGGATATTCCCCGTAGAGGCGTCAGGATTCAGACTCCCTGGGCAGCAAGGCTTTCGGGCCCTGAGGGTCCCTAGGACAGGAACTGTGTAGTTAGAATTTGAAGGGAGAGGGAAGCAGTGGCAGCAGCCAACAGGGGGCAGCATGACCCAGAGCAAGCTGCCCAAGACCTCAGCTGGGCTACCCTTCCTCTCCTCCACCAGGCCAGTATCAGGGGTTTCTGGCCTTGCACTGTCCCACTCTCTTCTCTCCCCATCCCTCCTCCTCGCTGTTAATGATACAGAACCGGGCACTCGGCTAGGTGTCTCCATTGCTGCCCATCCTAACCGCCCAGCAGCTGGGCTTCCACCATGGAGGCTGTTCAGGTCCCATCAGGGATGGTTTTCTAGCCTGGTTGAGGGAAGGAGGAAAGTCACACACCAGCAGTTTTTGAATAAAAGAATTGTTCCGGGTTAAGTGTCCCAAGTATTTTCCTCCAAGACAAGCCTTGCGCCTTCCTGTGGTCCTCTTGTTCAAAGGCCCAGTTAGTGCCAGGGAAAAGCATGGTGGGCTTCGGCACTGGTCATGGGCGCCAGGAGAGAGGGTCGCGCTGCCCTGACCCAGCTCCCACTGAGTTCCTATGCTGTCCAGCCTACACTTACAGGCTCCACCCAGTGGGTGAGGTGGCCCTGGCTCTTAAGATTGACTGGTTTGAGACATCCACACAGGGTTTTTCCTATATTTGCCTCTGTTGCTCCATTTGCAAAAGGGCCTCCAGGCCAAGGTATCCTGAGCTGGGGGGTTGGGGGAGCAGGCGAGAGCCCCACTATGCTGCTCCTCTGTGCCCTGTACTCCCTCAAGTAGAGTCAGGGAGGCCATCGTTCAGCCCTTGCAGGCCTCTCCAAGTCTGACCGGCTGGAGGTCAGGCCCATTACAGAGGTGGGGGCAACAGGTGGCCACCCAAGTATGGAAGGGAACTCCCCACTGCTGTCAGCAGGATGCCTCAAGTGGGGACTGGTAACAGACCCTGCCATTTGTCTTGTGTCATCTTTGCCCGACCTGAACTAATCCTTTGTCCGCCTCACTTCCTCCAGTCTGGGTGCTTAGCTGACAGCAGAAATGGCAGGGAGATCCCTGGGCCTGGTGGCGTTGGAATACAGAGAGAGAGGCTGCGGCTCAGCCTCCACTTGGGAGTGTCAGGTTCAGTGGTTCCTTTCCTGCAGATTCCTTTCGCTTGCTCTGAGACCAGAAGGCTAACTCGGCAGACCTGACCATGAACGCTCCCCCAACAGCACAGCCCGGGCCCAGTCCACATGGGCCTCCAGCTGGAAGGGAGGCCAGTGGCCCCCGCAGGAGCCCTTTCTTCCCCCATCACTCCCTGTGTAAACCTCTCAGCATGCTCACCACTTCAGACCTGGAGCCCATTAGCAATCTGGGGGTTAAGTTGTGGTTCTGTTGATGGACTGGTTGTGGGGGTGTCCAAACCCTCTGAAGGTAGTGGATGGAAAAATCTTAATCTGTGCGTTTTTCTTGGGAAAGGCCTAGGCCTTTCATAAGAGACTTAAAATGCTTCAGAACACTAAAAATGTCAGCACCACGGACGTGGTGCCACCCTGCTCTCTCCCCCTTTTTTTTTTTTTTTAAGATTTTATTTTTCCTTTTTCTCCCCAAAGCGCCCCTGGTACATAGTTGTATATTTTAGTCGGGAGTCCTAGTTGTGGCATGTGGGACGCCACCTCAGCATGGCCTGATGAGTGGTGCCATGTCGGCGCCCAGGATTTGAACTGGTGAAACTCTGGGCCACTGAAGCAGAGCGCATGAACCCAACCACTCGGCCACGGGGCCAGCCCCCTCTCTCCCCTTTTGAAACTCCTCCCTGGCACGTGCTCTTTGTGTGGCTGTCAGGTGGACGACTGGACAGCTCTGTGCAGAGAGAAGGGCTGGGGGGTACACAGGGGAGCTTATAGAATGAATTGGATTAGAATTTCTGTTTGGGATGGAAGAATCCAGCATGTCAGAGCTCAGAAGCCACCTAGCCCTTAGGGCCCACGGGTGAGGGGGGTCAGGACAGCTGCAGTCCTGCCAGGCCTTGTGGAATCTGGTCCAGGCTTACACAGCCCCGCCTTGCTCTTGCCCCCGTGGGTCACGCCCTCCAGCACGGGACCACTTTGGGGCTATTCCATTCTCCCCCCAAGTTAACTATCTAACCTCTTTGATATTCCAGCCACCACCCCATTATACAAGAGAATGAACTAAGGCCTGGACAGGGAAAGCAACTTGCCCAGGATGAAACAGAGGCAGGGTGAGAACCAGAACACATGACTCGACACTAGTCCCGTGCTTCTCCCACGGCCCCACAGTGGCTCTGTGCGCATCAGCCTAACACACATGCAGTGTCCCTATGAAGTGACAAGCCAGACCTCTGCACTCTAGTGAAAGCTGTCCTCTCACTTGGCGAGCATACATCATTGGGAGGCTGCCTAGTGATGGTTTATTAGGGCATGTGAGGAAGTCCTGGTTTGAACGGAGATGCATCCCAAGCCGGTTGCCACAACGTTCTCCCCGTGGGAATGTGAGACTGAACTGAAACCCTGGTGAAAGTGATCCTGAGGCCTGGCACTGTGCCACCTCCCTGTTGGATTCACAGCAGCACTGCCAGGCCTGCTGGGGCTCCTGGCCCCTCTGCCTCTACATGCGAAGCCAGCTCTGGCCCCTTGGAGAAGGGAATTGTCACCGGGTCCTCCTCCACCCCAGCCTGGGGATGAGCCGGGGGGAATAGCGGGGCAGTGAGGATTAGCTCAGCGCAGGCAGTGCAGGCAGAGAGCGGGGAAGCACTTGTCTCCTTTATTGAACATCCGCGGGTGCTCCTTGGCACTGACCAGGCAGCCGGAGGAGGAGCAAGCAGGTTAGGCAGACGACACCCACCCTCATTTCCAGTTCTTGAAGAATTGCTTGAAGATGGGACTCTCGCGGCCCTGGGGCAGAATCTCCACCTGTGGGGACAGCAGGGGAGAAGTCTGGTTCACAAGGATGCCACCTCTGCCTCCGCCAGGGAAGGCCAGGGCTATGGAGGAGGGTGCTGGGCACCAGGCCTGAGTCCGCACTCCATCCAGGCCGGGGCTGCTCCTCCAGATAAGCCAAGAGACAAGAAGGAAGATAACAGGGACACGGGCTGAGAAGACAGACTGCTTCAAGGACCTGGGTGCACAGTTTGACAGACGCCCCAATTCTAGATGAGCCTTATCAGCTGCTTTGGAATAACTTGTGGAGTCACCATGCGGGGTGAGGAGGGGTGGTACAAGCTAGGGACAGTGGGCCAGAGGAGGAGCACATGCTGTCAAAAGGGAGTCCTGGCTCCCGGGGGAGTGCTGCCCAACATCCTCTTAGAAACTAACATGTACTTTTCAGTGGTGAAGGATTGTGAAGGGCCTTCCCACTGGATGGGTCTGGTAGGGAAGCCTGACTATTCCTGACTGTGCCCGGGGCCTTCCTGCTCTTCTTGTCCCATATGAGGAGCAGGAGGCCCCAGGAGGAGAGTCTGGGCCCAGGGCATCTCCTCACCTGAGTGTTTGGGGCGTACTGCATGCGGGAGATGAAGTCCTCAGCCACGTGGAGGGCCGCCTGCCGCTCCTTCTCATTAGCTTTTCGCCCTGGATCACAGGAAGGAGATTTTTTAAAAGAACAGGGACCCTCTCTGGCTCGCATCCCATTTTTCTCAAAGAAATTTAAGGGGCTCCACAGACTAGCTGGCAGCTTCGGAGATAAATGGCCCAGGAGGTGCTAAGAATGCTGAGGAGCTCTCTGGAGGTGTGGAGTCAGCCCCTGGAGACTTCTCCCCACCTGGCAGCTCCAGGGCAGATGGAGACTGCTTTTCTGCTGCTCTCATTACCAAAACCTCTGCTCGGACGAGGACCCCAGGGATCCTCAGGGAAAGCGAGTGTTGCGGCATCAGACACTAAAGCCATGACCCCAGCCCAGGACCCCTGGCCTCTGGAGTCTGTCAGCTGCACTGTCATCAAGCCTTTTGTGTAAAACTAAATAGGACAAAAGGGTGTGATTTACCAGGGTATTACTCGTCTAAGGCCACATAGCCAACATTGGCCTGATGGGTATGCCGACGAAGAGTTTATGAAAAGGAAGACCACCAGTCATCCATTCCCCTCTGCAGGCCGTCCCTCTAATGCAAAGTGTGCTCCAGCTTAAGGCATTTTTCCAAGGAAACAATGTTGTGAATTGTGGCTGGCTCTCCAGCCAGGCTATGACAGTCCAGTTGCTACAATGTATCCGGAATGAATGTGCTGTATCCTTCCTCTCTGATCTGACCAGCTTCGGACCAGCTCCCAGGTTTCCTGTTTTTGCTCCCCTGGTTTCTCTTTCCAAAATGGTTCCATTCTTTGCTTCAGGCTAAATACACTTTCATGGGCGTCTGGGGACTTCCCTATGCTTGGAATTGGTTCCATGGAAAAGGCTCCCTGTGGCAGGAGGGGAAGGGGAGCTCCAGCAGCACAGTCCTCCGCCCCCCCCCCCACACACACCACACACACACCACACACACACACACACACACCACATACATACACCATGCAAACACACACCACACTCTCTCACTCTTAGAAACCTGCCATGCTGCTTGCTGCTCCAGGCCCTTCCCCAGGGCAAGAGTATTTATTGTCCAGGAGCAGCTATGGTTAGAACACCTACTACTTCTCTCTCTTCCTGACTAGCCTGGGGCTGGGGCCTTGGTTGACCCCACAGATAGTCATTGAGCAAATACTATTTCGTCAAGACACTACAGACGATATGGTTGCTGCTTTCAAGAGGTTTATGAGCTGGTCAGGGAGATGAGCCAGGCTCAAGAAAAGGCAAGCATGGTGGCGTCAATGGCTCCCAGTATCACTCAGAGGCTCTGAGCTCTGTTTCACCATTTTCAGAGTCAAACCAAGCAAACAGGCTTCTGCACAACAGTGTTTCTATTCCCAGCCAATGAAACCTCTTGGAAAAACTAGTTCTACCAGTTGACTACCCACTGCATAAAGTGAGATTTAATTTAGCTAAAATCTCTCTCTCTCACACCTCGAGGCAGAATGGCAGGATCAGGGGGCCAGCAGCCCTGGAGGCTCAGGAGCGCTCTAGGACAGATCCTCAAAAGGCCTGGGAACCAGTTAGATATGCAAATTCTTGGGCTCCACCCCAGACCTAGTGAATCAGAATCTCGGTCCAGCTATCTGTTTGAACAGGCCCTCTGGTGATTCTGTGGCATGCTGAAGTTTCAGAACCTTTGCCTAGAATTAGGGGGTGGGAACAGCAAAGAGAAAACCCTCAGCCTCAAGGTCCGGAGCATGCAGGCTCCCTGAGGCTGTCTTTTGAAAGCAGCCAGGCAGGCTGGCCCTCCAATGGGAAGCCTGCCTGGGTCGGAGCAGCCAGAGGGGTCTCAGGCCGGAGTGGAGAAGCCAAACATACCCTTCCAGATGTAGATCTTGCCACAGAGCCCGTTGTCCAGCACAAAGCAGTCGTCAGACAGCAGCAGCTCCACGGCAAAGGGGCTGGAGTCGGCCACCTTGGTCAGGTGCATCTGTCCAGTGGCATCAGAGACCTGGGGAGGACAGGCAGTGCCAGATCCCACCCTCCTCCCCCAACACCAGCCCTAACTTCTGCCCAAGGAGCAGGCCGCCTCCCTGCGCCACGGCCCCCACCCAGCACCCCAGGCCCAAGGAGCAGACGGGACAAGGAGGAAGAATTGACCGGCAAATCCCAGGCAGCCCCCACTCACCGCCCCACCCTCAATCATGGCAGCTTGCAGAGGCCGTGAATCCATTTGGAAATTAAGTGGATTGCGAATTACAAACAAATGCAAAGAATTCAAAAGGTAAAGCTCAGCATTGGCTTCAAATCTCCTTTTCCAAGAATGGGCCGGAAGTAAAGTGGCATTTATTTCCTCAGAAGGGCCTAACATCAGTCCACTTCCCATCCTCCTCTCACTCCAAGCCAGGGATAAACCACCCTGGTGCCCAGCCCAACCTTCCCACTGCTTTCTCCTCTCCCTTCAGGCCCCACCCCATGCACCAGGCTCCCACCCCTGCCTGGTCCCAGAGCGGGCCCTGAGTGCCCACCTTATACAGGGCCGCGGCCTGGGCATTTGTCTTGTCAGCTGTGAGGTCTTCCTCGGGGTTGCCCTCCTTCAGAGCAGGCTTGGGGCCCAGGACCTGCAGGGGCCAGGGCAGGCCAGGTTTCCATGGATTCCTGGGCACCTACCCTGGACCTTCCCAACCCATCATAACCAGGGCCACCGCCTCTGGTGAGGCAAATTGTGTCCTGCACAAGGGCACCGCACAGAGGGGAGTGAGGCTGGGTCCAGCCCACCCCACCTGCCAGGCCACTGGTCCACCCACCCAGAGGGGTACACAATGCTGAATCACACCATGGCACCCTGCGAGCTAGTCACAGCCCTGAGCAGCGCCCCAGATGCCCCCACCCCCACCATCCTCCACTGACCACCCTCATGACCCCAGCTTCTCCAGCTTCTCTCAGGACTTTCAAGCAGAGGCTCCTGGCCACCCACCCCAATGTCCCATCAACCTGGATCATCTCGGCAGGCTCCTCTCCATCAGTGACGATCTCCACCTGGGCCTTGCCCTGCCGCTCACTGTCCCGGATGGCCAGGGCCAGGTCCCGCGCCTTGTTGCGCTCCAGGATGTTGGACTTTCCACCACACCAGGCGAAGATGTTCTGCATGGAAGTAGGGAGGCTCAGGTTAGGGCCAGCTGCCTCATCCTGCCCCTTGGCTGTATGTGTGTATCTGTGTGTGTGTGTGTGTCTGTGTTGGGGGGGGGGGGGCTGTCTGTCTGAAGAACTGTCCCCTGAAGCAAGACAGGAGGAGGTGCAGAGGCCTCTCTGAGAATGACAACTCTTTGCAAGAGTGTTTCTCTGCCCAGCCCCCCATCTCCCTCCTGCTTTATTTTTCTCCGCATCATTTATCAGCACATATTTAAAGATCTTCATCTTGATTATAATCTATCTTCCTGGCCTAGAAAGTAAGCTCCATTAGGGCATGAATGCTGTGTTTTGTTTTACTTCGCTTCATTCACTGCTGTATGCCCAGTGCTGAAACAGAGACTGGCACATATTTAGGCACAAAATCAACATTTATTCAATGAATGAAATGGGTGAACGGCATCCTTGAGCCGGTACCTCGCACTCCCTGCTGCATCCCTGTCAGGCACGGCCCTCACCACCTCTCCCCCCGGCTGGCCCCCACCTCCATCCCACTGCTTCTAGTCCTCCTTCCCAGGAGCTCCTTGGTGGATGTTCCTGCCTGAAATCTCTGGCACCACAAATGCGGTCCAGACTCCTCAGGCGATCAGTCAATCTCCTCATGACCTCGGCCTCACCTTCCTTAACAATTTTCACTCTCACTGCTCCTGTCCCCACCCTGGGTGCCAGTCAACCGTCTCCAGACCCTTCCCTGCTATCACCATGCTTCCACCGCCGAGGACCTCAGCTCACCTGTTCCTTTGCCTGGAATGGTGTTTCCCCTCCATGAAGGTCTAGTCAAATGGCACCTACCTGGGACAATGGCTTCGGCTCAGCCTAGGGGGCCCCTCCCTGCCCCAAGCTCCCCCAGCACATGCTGCTGCCTCTCTTAGAGCCCTCATCACATCCTGCTGTGGATGACGGCAAGTGACAGGCCCTTCTTGGCTGCCTCCCCGCGGCAAGCAATTCGTAGTCTCCGTGCTGGCCCAGAGCAGGCATCATAGATTCACTGAGTGAATGGATGAGTTAATTAACCAATGGGCTGGCAGGCAGCTAGCTCAGAGCACAAAGGCTCCAAGAGGACAGAGTAGGCTCCAGTGTTAGAGACCAAAGCTAGACGGCAAAGGGAGGTTTCGAAGATAAGCATGTTTTCTAATGGCTGGAGCATCCCACTTGGAACGGGCCTCTCAGCTTCTCTCCCTTTCCCCTGGCCTCCTGGTCCCTGCCCTTTTATAACACGGTGCCAACACAGCGTGCTCAGACCAGTCCTGTCCACCCACCTGGCCAAGGTCCAAGATGAAGCAGTCTCCGGTGTTGAAGCTGTCCCAGCTCAGCGCCTGCTCGGTGGCACGGATGTTCTTCTTCCCCTTCACTTGGTAGAGTTTCTTGATGGCAGCTGGGGTGGCCCCTGGGGAGGTCTTATGAAAGGCTGACTCCACTCCACCTTCCTGCAGCCCAGACAACCAGCCTGAGTGGGCTGATGGCAGGCCGGGACCCCTCCATACCCCAGCCCACTGGGAGATGGGAAGAAAGGTGGGGAGGACCCAGTCCCGAGGGCATCTGGGCCTTTTGCAGGGTAAGAAGTAGCTGGAAGGGCAGCTGGCTCTGCAAGAATTCACAGCGTCAGGGTGCCAAGAGGTGGGTTCTGACCTGGTACTTGAGGCCACGTGGGAAGTAGCTCATGAAGAGGTCGGACTCATTGCCCTGCACCTCGCGGTGCTGCACAGGCCTCTCCCCAAGCAGGGTGTTTAGGTGCACAGCCAGCACAGCGCAGGCCCCCTGCTCATCCCGGGATGACTGCTGGCCTGGGGCAGGTGGGAGGTGGCAGGGCAAGGCCTGTGAGACCCATCCCAGCCCTGGCCCCTGCCCGAGCCAGGACCCCAACAGTTCCCCCAGCTCCCTTACCGATCCACAGGTGCAGGTGGGAGAGCTCCTCCGGGCCATTGTGCAGCACCAGGTAGGAGTCGCCAGAGAAGAAGATGCCCTGGTTCTCTCGTGCTACTGGCACTGGCTTCAGCTTCTCCACCCGCCATACGTGCAGGCCGGGATCCTGCACTGAGGCTGGGAATGGACAGCCGCTGTGGGAGGGGAGAGGGTTGGCAGTGGCCAGGGCCCTTGAGGAGTGGACCCGAGCACAGAGACCTGGGCAGGCCTGGGGCGGGGGGAAGGGGATGGGGTGCATAGCCTACCTCTTGGGGATGGGTGTGTACATGCTGTTTCCAGATCTGGAAAGACAGAAGAAGCCATTGTTATTACAAATGTCATGACAATCACCCTTCACACTGGTCTGGGGAGGCCATTCCAGGTGGCCAAGTACTTGCGTATTCATCAACTACTTCATCTTCAAGAGCCCAAGAGGAGATTATCCTTGGCTCCATCACACAAGCAGCGAAAGTGAGGCTCAGAGAGTCTAAGTCCAAAGTCACACAGCTAGTGAGAGGCCAGTGAAAACCAGGTCTCTGGCTCCTGGGCCAGTGTCTTCCCCTTGCTGTGACCTCTCAGCCACACTTGTCTCCTGCTTCCAGACCTCTAACTCTGGGTATTGCAGGAGGCTAGGATACAGTTCTTTAAGCAATAACGACTTATATTAGAAAAGTCTAAAATCAGCAACATCAGTTTCCACCATAAAAACAAAATCAGAAAAGGAAAAGTAAATTAAACCCAAAATAATCAGAAGAAAATAAACACAAATAAGAGTAGAAATAGAAAACAAAAAAATAATGGGCCAGCCCAGTGGCACAGCAGTTAAGTTCACCCATTCCACTTCGGCAGCCTGGGGTTCACCAGTTTGGATCCCGGGTGCAGACATGGCACTGCTTGGCAAGCCGTGCTGTGGTAGGCATCCCACATATAAAGTAGAGGAAGATGGGCATGGATGTTAGCTCAGGGCCAGTCTTCCTCAGCAAATAGAGGAGGATTGGCAGTAGATGTTAGCTCAGGGCTAATCTTCCTTGGAAAAAAAAATTAAAAAAAAGAAATAGAAAACAAAAAAATAAAATCAATAAAGCTGGTTTTCAAAAAAAAATCAATAAAATTGATGAATGAACCTTTCGTCAAACTGATTAGGAAAAAGAAAAGGCACAGATTTCCAACACAGAAACAATTGAGAGATGACATCACCACAGATCCTACAGATATTCAAAGGGTAAAGTGAATATTACAAAAGCTTTATGCCAATATATTCAACAAATTATATGAAATGGGCAAGTTCCTTGAAGGATACAAATTATGAAAGTTCACTCAAGAAGAACTAGATTACCTGAATCCTTCTAATAGCTATTAAAGAAATTGAGTTTGTACTTAAAAACTTCTCCCCCAAAAAAGATTCCAAGTCCAGATAAATTCTACCAAAAATTTAAGGAAGACATAATACCAATTCTACACAAACTCTTCCAGAAAATAGGAGAGAACATCTCAACTCACCCTATGCTGCCAGCATTATCTTGACAGAACAAAACCAGACAAATATATTATAGAAAAGAAAATTAAAAAATTAGATCAATATCCCTCATGAACATAGACACAGAAAATATTAATAAAATTTTAGCATTTGGAATTCAGTGATATATAAAAAGGATAGAATATTATGACTAAATGGGGTTTATCTAAGGAATGCAAAGTTGGTTTTAACATATGAAAATTAATCAATGTGACCCACCCTATTAACAAACTAAATAATGACAAATAAAAATGGCAAGCAATAGGATATATTGGAGTACATGAGGAAGCCATTTGGTATAAACCTAATTCGGCCTGACCTTGTTTTTCCAAAAGGGCGTGACTGTGTCTGTTGAGCATTGCATATCTGCTTTAAAACATTTCCTATGGCAAAAACAAAGGCCCCTGAGATAAAGGTGCAACTTTCCCCCACATTGGCATTTCCTTAAGGATAAGCATCTTTCCTTAGGCTAGGAACTGATTGCCTGTGACCACCCAGCTTGGGACAACAGACCTGCCACCCTGCTGTGTTCACCGAGATGGCAGACCTACCTACTGTTTCCATCAATCCACTGTGCCGACTATCGTAAAAGGGACATTTCAATCATATGTGAAACACCCTGTTTGGGGGTATATAACCACTCTGTGCACCCCACTTCTTCAGTGCCCTTTCTTCCTTCGGGGAAGAAAGGCCCCAGGCCATGGTCCTCAGATTTTAACTCAGAATAAACTCTCCCAAATTTTCATTTATAGATTGGTTATGGATTATTTTTGTTGACAATAAATATATATATTTATATACACTTGTCTCAATAGATGCAGAGAAAGCATTTAGCAGAATTCTACATCCATTCCTGATTTAAAAAAAAAAAAACACTTTCAGCAAACTAGAAATAGAAGGGAATTTGCTTAACCTGATAAAAGGCATCTACCAAAAACAAACAAACAAAAGGAAAAAAAAGCCTACAGCTAACATTAGACTTAGCGCTTTCTTTAATTCTAAACTCCCTCCCTGGGGAATCTCACCCATTCCCAGGCATCAGCTATCACGCTTGTATGCCCAGCTCCCCTCAAATGCTAGGATGATGAACATCACCTTTATTCTGTAGGTCAGTGGGAGCAACCTTTTTTGGACAAAAGTTAATTCAGGGGGAAAAAAAAGCTAAAGGCAAGCATTTAAAAAATAACATTACCTTTTTCAGCAAATGCAGAAGTTACAGCTTCACTCACTGTCTCTTTCACATGTTCCCATTACTAGAGGGTTTCTTCTTTTGGCTTAAAACGCTGAGACCACACCAACTTTAGTAATGTGAGTCCCAGGGACACAGGCTAAAAGGGCCTGGGGAATTTCACGGTGAAGAGGCAAAGTGGCACCACTAGGAGATTCTTGGGGGCTGGGGAAGCAGGGAAATCTTTGGGGGATGGGTGGGTGGATGTTGACTGAGCAAGAAACAGAGGGAGACACGAGCAGCGGTAATGGATGTAAATTACCACATGAATTATGACTTTCATTTTCCATGCCTAAATTACAACACAGCTGAAGGCACTTTTTGGAAGCACACTTCCCGCAAAGCAGGGAGGCAGGGAGGGGGAGGTTTGGGGGAGGGAAACTTTCAAGTTTCTCCATCCTACAGAGAGTCAGTCACATGCTGTGCCCACATCCCCTGCACCAGGCAGCTGAGCCTGTGACTCAGGTCTGAAGTGGGGAGGCGGCCGCCCAAAGCCCAAGTCAGTGGGGAGAGCTCGGAAACGGAGATGGTGTGACTAAGAGGGTCAACTGTCAGCTTTCCTATTTTTCTGTGTTACTGATGTAAGAGCTCTGGCCGTAACTCAAACGCAAGCAGCCCACATGCCGGGGCCCCTCTGAGAGCCACTGCAGGGTTTGATGAACGGGGTTTGGCTGCCTGCTCCCTCATCACTCCGGCTCTCCACTCTGGCTGCCTGTTAGAAGTACCTCAGGATCTTATAAAAACAGAGGTGCCAAGCCCCAGGCCTGGAAAGTCTGAGCCCACAGGTGTGGGGTGTGCCCTGTGCATCCTCATTTTGAACATATGTTCCAGGTGATTCTGACGCTGCCAGTTAACTCTGTCCAGAACAGCAACTCACACTTGCCTGCACATTAGAATCACTGGGGGGCTTTAAAAAAGGCCCAATGCAGGGCCGGCCTGGTGGTGCAGCGGTTAAGTGTACATGTTCCGCTTCTCGGCGACCTGGGGTTCGCCGGTTCGGATCCCGGATGCAGACATGGCACCGCTTGGCAAAAGCCATGTTGTGGTAGGCATCCCACATATAAAGTAGAAGAAGATGGGCACGGATGTTAGCTCAGGGTCAGTCTTCCTCAGCAAAAAAAGAGGAGGATTGGCAGTAGTTAGCACAGGGCTAATCTTCCTAAAAAAAAAAAAAAAAAAAAAAAAAAAGCCAATGCCCAGGGCACATACCAGACTAGTGAAAATCAGACTCTGGGGTGGAGCTGGTATCAGTGTTGGAGACGTTCCAGGTGACTCTAAGGCAGGGTCAGGCTGCTGCCTGCTCAGAGTCCTGCCTCCAGCCTTCTGCTCCAGGCTCTCACCAGTGACTGTCCCCTCCTGACCCCGGGCCTCTCCTTCTCTCCTCTCCCCCCAGCCCAAGCCCACAGCCCACAGCTCCCTGAGCGTCCTCTGTGCACACCTCCACCGTCATGTCCATCCAAGCCCCACCGCCCCTCCAGGCCTTTCAAGCCCCAGCTGTCTGAGGAGCCTGCCAGGACATCTGGTGGCCTTGGCCTCCTCTGGGAGCTCTACTAGCCCTCTCACCTGGGAGCATTTACTTCAGTCCCTGCCTGCAGGCTGTCTTACAGCAGGACCTGACAGCTTCATGTCTCAACCAGAGCGGGGGACACGCCTGACACCCTGCGTTCCTCAAGCAGCCCTGGGCAGGGTCTACTCAATTCCATTTGAGGTCTATGCTGGGAGCTTGGTACTGGGCAGGATGCGGGGGTGGGGGAGGGATGACACAGAAATGAAGAACAACCCGTGTCTCGCTCAAGTGGGTAGTGAAGTTGAGAGCCATCACACCCACTGGGACAGCAGACAAACTTCCCCTATGTGGGGAATGTCACGCAGTCATAGATATCAGCATTAGAAGGAGCCTTAATGTTTATCTCATCCTGCTCTGCATCCACCTCCCAACACATACCCACTGCACAGAAACCCCTTCTATAGCACCCCTCACCATCCTCTTCTTGAACACTTCTGGTGATGGGGAACTCACCACCTCACGAGGCAGCCACTTCTATACCTTTACATTAAAGCCTTTGTTTTTCCCCACTCTGTGATTAGTGCAGTGAGCTACGGGTCTGCCCATCTCCCCTACTGGACCGAAGGGGCCTTTGGGGCAGGCACTGTATTTTGCCTCTCTCCATCTAGCTGGAACCTCACACTGAGCCTGGCACCCTGCAGGTGCTCAGAGAATGCATTTAATTAACTGGACTTGCTGGGTTCCAATTATTAGACCAGAGGGAGCCTGATAGCTAGTGCAGGATGTCAACAGACGGACGGGGCAGGCTGGAGCAGACTCGGAGGCAGAAAGCAGAGGCTCCCGTTGGACTGCCACAGGGCTAGGGGTGGGGCGAGGATGTGTGCCCTGCTGGCTGTCCCATGGCACTGACTTAGGAAGGAGCCTGGCGGTTGAGGACACACTGGGGGACCCTGCGGTGGGGTGGGGGTGTCGCTGTTACGCATACCTTGAAGGCAGCACTTGACAGCTGCCAGAATGACAAAAAGTCCTCCGGGCTACCTTTGCCCTCCTCAGACCGATTCCGTTGGTCCCCAACAGGTCCCTTCACCTCTCTGTCCCATTTGCCCTTAGTTGTGAAATGAAACAGCCCCTGCCCCTCTCCTCAAGAAAGGGTGGAGGGAAGCGTGTCAGCACTGGAAACGACACGGGGTCCTCCTAGCCTGGATGTGGGCATGCTCAGGAGCTAGGTCCAGAGGCCTTGTCCAGGCACTCTTGGGCCAGTGCTCCTTCACTGACAACAAGTAGGAGTCCCACCCTTTGCCCTCCTCCACCTTCACATCCCTCCTCCTCCCGCCCCCCACCCCCACCCCAGGCAGCTGGCCAGACCCTTGGCTGGAGTCTTGCTAAATTTGCAAAATAATTCAGATACTGTGCCCCTTGTATTTGAATTCAAATGCCAGGCCTGCTGGGGGCAGGGGGGGAGCCCTCTTCAACAGCCCCCCCACCCCCAGCCCACCTAACTACAGTCACAGCACAGTCCTGCCCCAGGGACAAGTATCGCCAAATCGGAATGCAGCTCCCGGCTGGCTGAGGGCCTTCAGGAGTCCGGTCACTTGGTGCGGTGGCCTCTGTCAGGAGGTCAGGCACCAACTCTCATACAAGCCAGGACAAGCCCTGACCCAGGAGCTCCTCATCAATGTCCTGAGCACAGCCCAGCCGTCCCCCAGGGCAGCTTCGAGGCTTCAGTCAGATAAAATACCTGGGTCCTGGCGTAAAGCTGCCAGGACCGCAGGCTCGGGGACACCAGTCCTGGACAAAGCAGTTTCCAGAAATGTGAGTCTCTGTTTCCAGACCCCGACAGCCAGGCCTCACTTGCCCACTTGAGAGGGTCCGGATCAGCCCAGGCCCGGGGGCCACTCTCCCTCAGCCACCCTCCCACTTCACCTTTCTGCAGCTCTTCCTCCTCCTCCTTCAGCTTTTCAAGCTCTGCTTCCTCCCAGCCTGCCCCACCCCAGCTTCTCACATCTCTCTGACTCCTCCTGGGCTGGCCCTCTCCTGCCCCACCCCTGGCTCCTTCCCCAGCCCATCCTCCGACAGGAGGGGGCGGACAGAGCTGGGAGGCTGGCAGCCTTGGCGGGAAGAGCAGCACTGAGGGCGAGCGGTGGGTGCTGCCAGGCTGGCTCCTCAGAGGCACCCGCGGGCAGGCTGGAGGTCCACCCCAGCTTGGGGCCTCCCCGCAGTGGTCTCCGCAGGCTGCAGGCCAGGGTCAGCATCTCTAAGGCTGGACCTGCAAGGAGAGCCACAGGAGAGCCACAACTGGCCACGTCCCCTACTCACCAGCCTTGGGCAGGCACATCTGCCCAGCCCCTGCCTCCACCGGGTTAGTCACACTTCCTGGGTGGGGTCACTGCCTCTGCAATGACTTTTCCTTCCTCCCCTGACTTGTCTTTCTCCTTCCCCTGAATGCACACATTTGATTTTTTTGAAGCTCCATTCTGAGGGAGTGGCTGAGGCCTGTGAACCATTCTTGGCTGTGCCTGCATGCCAAATGCCTCTCAAGTCTACCCTTGATCAGCATCTCATTCACCTGATGTCCACTGTCACGCAGTCTCAGCACTGCGCCCTCTAAGGGACAGCAATACGAGTAACAGCGGTTCTGGCTTGACCCATGGCAGCCTGCCTACATCACATCATAGGACCCCAGAGCTAGTCTGGTCCAAGTCACTTGCTCCCTTTCTAGAGGAGGATACTGACGCCTGAGTGACTCACCCACAGTCACCCAGGGAGTGGGAGGCAGAGCAAGGGAGCCTTCCATTCTTTTCTGAATCCATGAGGAAGGATGAAGCACAGTCTGGGCGTGCTCCAGAGGAAGTGAGCACCCAGTTATGCAGTCATGCACGGCTCCCGGGCCCGGGACTCTGGCCCAGGGCTGGTCAACAGGGTAGTCAGAGATAAGGCTCAGCCTCAGGGTCAAGGTCCCACCCATGGGGCAGCAGTGCAGGCAGCGGCACTAAATCAATCCATGTGTTAAAATTTCTGGACCAGAGCAAGATGGGAAGTTAAATGTTCTTTTCAAGGATACAAACTGTAGGCGGCATCTGAGTGTCTCCATGGCCAAACTGCTGGCCTTAAAAATAGGCTAATTGGGGGACCGGCCCCGTGGCCAAGTGGTGAAGTTCGCAAGCTCTGCTTCGGCGGCCCAGGGTTCACCAGTTGGGATCCTGGGCGCGGACATGGCACCGCTCGTCAGGCCATGCTGAGGCAGCATCCCACATGCCACAACTAGAAGGACCCACAACAAAAAATACACAACTATGTACTGGGGTGGGGGGGGGGGGCTTTAAGGGAGAAAAAGGAAAAATAAAATGTAGGAAAAAAAATAGGCTAATCTGAGTTGAAGTCCCAGCGGGCCCTGTCCCCGTGAGGACCAGAGGCTGGCCAGATAACCTGGCAGAGTGGAAAGAATTGAACAGTTTAGCTACTTACTGGCTGCGCTCCCTCCAGCAAGTGACTGAACCTCCTTGAGCTTCCCCGTGCCCAATCTGTAAAATGGGCATAAACATCAATGTGAAGATTAAATGAGATCGTAAAATTAACCAGCAAATGATAGATGCTCAATGAACCTAGACTTCTTTCTCTTCCCAACGATGAGAATTTACTAGGGGACCTCAGTATATGTGCCCAGCACCTCGGTAAGTAATGTCCCTGCCGCACCACCCCCGCCCCCGGCCCTGTGTAGCCACAGGGGGATGGAAAGTTAAACAACAGATTACTCCTCCCTGCCCCAGCCTCCACCCTAGGAAGGTTCATCGACTCTGGTGACTCCGTTCTACACAGGTGCAGAACCAGGGTAGCTCTGAAGTTCCGGACTCTGTGCACCGACCAAGGGGCACAAGGACAATGGGAGTCACTGTTCTCCAAATCTGAAGCTCACCTGGCTAAAGGTGGCCCCAATCGCCACAGAAATAAAAAGAGATGTGCAAATTAACAGCGAAACAAAAGAGCAGGTCACTCAACCCAGGAATCTTAAGCGCCTTGGAACTCAAAGAACGCACACGCTAAGGACATTATCTGGTAACCAGATTCTCACACTTGTTTTTTTACCAGATTCACGTTTTCCCTCCCGCTCCGGTCTCCCGGTCTCCCTCGGCAGGAACGCTCAGAGTTTGGCCCAAATGGAGTAAAATACAGCATTTCTGTAGCACGGACCCGCCCTCTCGCGCCCCTCCCTGCAGGAAGCGAGGCGATGCGATTAGATACGCGGGTGCACCCCTTAGAGGAGAGGGGCGGAGGGGCCCCCGAGGAGGAGGCCGCCGGTCCGAGGGAGGGGCCTGGCCGGCCTGAGGCCGCCCTCGCTGTCCTCCCTCCCGGGGAGACTGGGGCGGGTACCCGGGAAGCTACGGACAACCTCGCTATGAGGAAACTTCGCGAGAGGATGGCAGGGGTCACAGCCCCTC